AGAGAGAGAGAGTTTCAGGTAAACTTTGGAAGTTATCCATAACTTCCCATGTGTTTTACATTCAATGTCTAAAATGCTTTTTTATATTTAAGTTTCTTAGTTAATACTATCCATCCCCATTCCAAGCACCAGCTTCATTGCTAGGATAATTGTCTCAGGCTGAACCTACCCTTGTCCAAAACATACAAATAGCAAATTCATCCATGGAGAGTTGGGAGTCAAATTGAGTATCATATCTGCCTCACCTGTGTGTAATGATGGACGCTAAAGACAGTCATGTGCTTGTCTGTAGTTTTCCTTATGAACTCAATCTTTACACATAAAAGAAACACCATCTAGATAGATGTCAGGGTCCTGTCTCTAGAACTGTTTTACTCACCACACCACCTTAGTGGGGAAATCTGTGAGAAGTGGAGACAGAGCAAAAGCCTCTCATAGGTCTAGGAAGTGCTGGGATTTTCTCTTTTAGTTATTGGTTGGGATATGTTGTGTAGCGATGCAAAACTGTTGTCAGCTTGCCCTGGCCATGCTTTTCTTAGCATGTTGGGGTTCTTTGGGTCACATGACTGCTGAGCTGATTCGTTCCTGAGGAAAACAACTCCATGAGGATAATCTTTCTCCTACTTTTTGGAGACACTTATACAATAATAGCTCATATATCTGAGACAGCCCTTCACATATAGCCCAGGAAGGGCTGGACTCCTTAGCCAGCCCAAACTAGCTCATACTCACCATCCTCCTGGTTCTGCCTTCTGAGTGCAGGGATTGCAGATGTGCAGGACCACTCCAGGCTACAAGTGCAGTTCTAAGGAATGACTTCCTGGAAAGGAGAAATGGGCACTTTACCTTTAGAAGGCTCTGAAATGAGGCAGAAGTGGGTTTTAATGAAAAACTTCATATCCATCCATAAACACATCCCCTAAGCACATCTACCTTAAAATTGTGGCCAAGCAGGCTGTTTGGTATAATCCATTCTATTTGTAGATAAGTTTATGTGATGGAACTATTTTATATAATACCATATCAGAAAATAAAGCAGACATTTTGACAATGCTCTTTTGAATTAATACTTTCAGCAGAAATGTTTTTATTTTTCATTCATGGTGCTGCGTGCCTGTAATCCCAGCACTTGGGAGGCAGAGGCAGGGAACTTTCTATAGTTCTGAATTCAGTCTGGTCTACCCAGAGATTTCCAGGGCTACATAGTGAGATTCTGTCTCAAAATAATTACCTGGGTGGAGTAGCCTGAGCTGGTAACTGTGGTCTCTTAAGAGTTTGTAGAAAATCCATTCAGGCCCTTCTGGCTTTTGAAATCTTCATTGAGAAGTCAGGTGTTATTCTAATAGGTCTGCCTTTATATGTTACTTTGTATTTTTCCCCTGAGCTTTTAATATTCTTTCTTTGTTCCATATGTTTAGTGTTTTGATTACTATGTATTGTGGGGAGTATTTTTTCTGATCCAGTCTGTTTGGTGTTCTGCTTCTTGTATCTTGACAGGCAGGTCCTTCTTTAGGTTGGAGACATTTTCTTCTGTGATTTTTGCTAAAAATATTTTCTGTGCCTTTGACCAGGGTTTCTTTTACATAGGATTCTAGATTTCCAGATTTCCTAGATGTTTTGTGCCTGGATTTTTTTTTTTTTAGATTTAATGTTTTCTTTGACTGCCATGTCCATTTTTTCTACCTCATCTTCAGTGTCTGAGATTCTCTCCTTCATGTGCTCTGATGTTGAGGCTTATTTCTGAGGTTTTGTTTGACTTCCTGAATTGCAAATTTCCAGTTGTATCTCTGGGCTTTACTTAGTAATTCTATTACTACTTTAATGTCGTGTATTGTTTTTGTTATTTTATTCCACCGTGTGTGTTTTCACAGACTTTGAACTCAATGGTAGATTTTTTTTTCTCATATTGCTTTATTTGGGCATTTAAAAATCTTATTGGTCTTTTGCTTGTATATTATGGCTTCCAATTTTGTGTTTTTTATGGGATTTCTCTCTGTGTCAGTTGTGTCTGTCTGTCTGTCTCTCTCTCTCTCTCTCTCTCTCTCTCTCTCTCCCTCTCTCTCTCTCTCTGTGTGTGTGTGTGTGTGTGTGTGTGTGTGTGTGTGTGTGTGTATCTTGCACTTTTCTTCTATTTTCAATTCTGTCCTTTAAGGAAAAAATTGCATGTTTATTTTCTAAAGAATGAGAGAAGGAAGGTGTGGAGTTGGGTAGGTAGGGAGGTTCTGGGAAGAGATGGGGAGAAGAAACCATGATCAGAATATATTGTGTGAAAAATTATTTTCAGTTAAAAAATGCAAGTACAGAATAAAATTAGCTCATAAAGACTACAAAAATGTCCACTTTGGCCACAGTTAAATAATTGGAAAATACATCTTATCTTCTCCAGTTCATTCCTACTCAGTGAGTGCTGAGAAGTTTGGATGCTTGAGTTGGAGCATCAGCTTATACTCTGCTTTCTTAATAATTAATAAATGATAGTTAAGGTTCTTCAATGTTTGATACTTGGTAAAAAAAAATTAATAAGAAGTAACATTTGTGAAACAATTTTCCTGAGTTAAGTACTGTTTAAAATGCTTTAGAGATATTATGTGATTAAACAACCCATGAGGTCAGCGCTGCCCAAAGAACAGTAAATGCTATAATTATAATGAGAAAGCAATTCTGGCTAGCAGCCTCAGATCCTTGGAGTTGTATAGAACATGTCTCCTTAATCTTATTTGTCTCACCTTGTGGTCACACTTCTCATTCCATTCGTGTCACAGAAAAAATGTGGGGATGTTGCCCAAGTCACTGGAAGTCCTTTGGCTCCAGCTGCTACCTCATTTCTACCAATGAGAACATCTGGAGCATCAGTGAGCAGAAATGCATTGAGATGGGGGCTCATTTGGTGGTGATCAACACTGAAGCCGAGCAGGTAGCTCTTTCTTATTTTTCAAGCCTTTTAATTGTAGGAAGATGTAGTCAAATTTACTAAACTTGATCATTTTTAATTTATCATTAATTAACTAATTAATTAATTTTTCCAGCCTGACTATAGTTTCCCCTCCCTTCGTCCTCTCCTCCCAGCCATCCCCTCCCTACCATCTTCCCTCTTCACCCCCATCTACCTCTTCTCTTTTCTCTTCAGAAAAGGGCAGGCCTCCCATGTATATCAGCCAACCATGGCAATCAAGTTGCAGTAAGACTAGGCACACCCTCTCCTATTAAGGCTGGACAAGGCAATCCAGCAGGAGGAAAGGGTCCCAAAAGCAGGTAACAGAGCTGGAGACAGCCTGCTGCCACTGTTAGGAGTTGCACAAGAAGACCAAGCTACACAACTGTAGCACATGTGCAGAGGGAATGGTTAGTAGTGATTAGTATGTTCACTCCATTGTAGAAAATCCCCTAGATCTTCTTTGCCTTGCAAGATTAGAAGTCCTTGAACAAAGACTGTTCACTTCCCAATCCATAAGACTCTGGCAATCACTCCTCTACTTCCTGTTTTTATGCTTTTGATTATTTTAGATTCTTTATGTTAGTGTATTATTTTTGTGTACACCTGTATGTGTGTGTGTGTGTGTGTGTGTGTGTGTGTGTGTGTTTGTCTAGCTTATTTCATTTGACATGGTATCCCCAAGGTTCATCCATATTGTAATATATGACAGAATTTTCTTCCATTTTAAGTCTGAATATTCCATTATACATATATTTTCTTTCTTTGTTTTATATGATTTTTCCCTGGGTATCTTAAGGTGTAACTGACAGAAAAAAATGAATGTATTTCCAGTGTACAATGTGATTACTTGTCATATGTGTGCATTGTGAATGAACTGCTCAAACCCATTACATGTGGGTATGTATGTGTGTGGTGAGAACACTTAAAATACCACTTTCCCTCCACTCATTGAGTGATTCTCATATAGATTG